GCGGTCCTGTTATAGTTACTTCTTGGACCACCTCTTGCGCTCCACTCAGGACTAAATTGAGAATTGCCTTTCCCCTTGTGGGTTCCTGTACCAGCTGGTCTAAGAAGCAGTCATTTAAAGTATCCATAAATTTAGTCTCTGCATTTCGCCCTGAGGTGACATGTACCCAGTCAACATGGGGATAATTGAAATCCCCCATTATTATTGAGTTCTTAATTTTGATAGCCTCTCTAATTTCCCTTAGCATTTCATCATCACTATCACTGTCCTGGTCAGGTGGTCGATAATAGATCCCTAATGTTATATTCTTATTAGAGCATGAAATTTCTATCCATAGAGACTCTATGGAACATGTGGATTCATTTAAGATTTTTACTTCATTTGATTCTACATTTTCTTTCACATATAGTGCTAATTCCCCCCTGCATGACTTTTTCTGTCCTTCCGATATATTTTGTACCCCGGAATGATTGTGTCCCATTGATTGTCCCCACTCCACCAGGTTTCTGTGATGCCTATTGTATCAATATCCTCCTTTATCACGTGGCACTCTAGTTCATCCATCTGATTATTTAGACTTCTAGCATTTGTGTACAAGCACTTTAAAAACTTGTCACTGTTTATTTGTCTGCCCTTTTCGGATGTATCAGGTTCTTTTTGATGTGAATGTTTCTCATCTGATCTGGCCCATGGTTTATCCTCTTCCATCCTCTGCTCCTGACTAGAACCTACAGAATCTCTAGCAATAGACTCTCCTCTAAGAGAAGTCTCTGTCGGATCCACATGCTCCGCTGCAGCAGTCGGCTTTCCCCCGTCTCTTAGTTTAAAAACTGCTCTGCAAGATTTTAATGTTAAGTGCCAGCAGTCTGGTTCCACTTTGGTTTAGGTGGAGCCCATCCTTCCTGTAGAGGCTCCCCCGTCCCAAAAGTTTCCCCAGTTTCTAATAAATCTAAACCCCTCCTCTGTACAACACCATCTACACCATTCCCCTCCACTCCTCCAAAACAGCCCTCGTGGCCCAGAAGACAAGATGGAGGTCTCTCCAACTCTGGAGAGTGAGCTTCACCTTACCCTTTAAATCGTGGGTGTCCACCAGAAAACGGTGAAGCTCATCCCTCAGAACAGTGTGGGACGATGTCGTGGACCCATGATGATCCTCTGGCGGGGCTCCTGTTACGATCCTGTAGCTCACAGAAATGAGCATAGAGGGAGCAGACCACCAGTGCGGCGACAATACCAGTGGTGCCATGAACCTGCCTATATCTCCAGAAAGGGTAAGGGAGAGGAGGGAAGTGAGCAGCCCCTAAAGAGTCCAGGAGGGGAGACATAAAAACTACCGCCTGAGGTTTATCTAAGGACCGGGGAAATGAGACAACCCCTGGTTGGCAGCAGTATGGAAGATAGAGAGGACAGAAATGAGTAGGGCTTCTCTCCCCCCGCTTCCGCTCTGTGGCTGCGGCTAGGGCTCAGGGCAGCAGGAACTGACAGATTCTTCTGCCACTCCATCCGGGGCAGCCTGAGCTCTTACCCTCCTCCAGACGCTCCTACTAGAGCTGGAGGCTTGAACTCCTGCCAGCTGAGTCTGAGACTGACCAGACTCAGGGCTTCTGCCCCCTTCTGCTGACCTGTTCCAAAGGAATGACATGGGGTGATTGCCATGTTCTGTTCAATCCCTCTGAAGCACCTGGCACTGGGCACTGTCAGCAGACAGGCTACTGGGCTACATGGACCATTGGTTTTACCCAGTATGGCCATTCTGATCTTTTTATTTACACCCCAGATGTATCTGCCTCCTGCTGTAACACACTATACTCCACTCCCCTACCAGAGATGACATAGATCCCAGGAATCCTAGAATATCAGGGTTGGAAAGGAACCCAGGAGGTCATGTAGTCCAACCCCCTGCTCAAAGCCGGACCATTCCTGAAATAAATAATCCCAGCCAGGGCTTTGTCAGCCAGGAGTCCTGATGGGAACTCTCTCTCCACAGAGTTAGTAACAAAGTAAGAATAAACATTAAAAATTTAACCCTTAAGTGATTTGCCAAATGTGAGAACATATTGGTTTTAGAGATGACTGGGTCGCAGCTGAAAAGGGGAGGGAAAGACAGGAGAAAGTGACAGGGGCAGGGCCTTGGAGAGAAGACATACTGCAGGGTTGAGGCTTGACAGAAGAGGTGAGGCAAGATTGCAATTTCAGGGATCCAGCTACCAGCAATTACAAAGGTGGCAACCCAGTGTACTCTACATAGACTGACTCCCCAGGTCATCACATTGACACAGCACAGTAAGGACAGGGAAGGGTTTAATGTCTCTCTGTCTGTCCAGTAAGTGATTCAGGGAAGAGGCCCCAGCACAATGCACCAGCCAGCTCTGCACAGAGCTCAATCTGAGAGCCAGAGCACAAGGAGAAAACATTTAGGTCTTTTTATGAGTAAAGAGCTGGAGCAGCCTGCCCCGGATCTGTTTGGTCCTCACCCCGTAAATGATGGGGTGTAGCACAGGGGGCACCATGTGGTACACACTGGTAAGGAGAATGCGTAAATGCAGTGGCACATTGTGGCCAAACCGCTGAATGAGGGAGGAGAATAAATCTGGGATGTACAAAGCTAAGATGGCACAAAGATGAGAGATGCAGGTCCCAAAAGTTTTCAGCCGGGCATCCTTTGTGGGGAGGCGGAAGATGGCCCTGAGGATCTGAGTATAGGACACTGTGATAAAAAACCCATCCATTCCAATCACAGTGAGAAGATCAAAGAGGCCATAGTAACTGTTGATGCGGATGTCAGCGCAGGCCAGCTTCACCACAGCTATATGCTGACAATAAAAGTGGGCGATGATGTTGGTTCTGCAATATGGCCACCGTCTCACCAGGAAGGGATAGGGTAATGCGAGTATGCCACTGCGCAGCACCACAGCCAAGCCGATCTTGGCCACCAGGGGGTTTGTCATGGTGGTGGAATGTCTCAGGGGATGGCAGATGGCCACGTAGCGATCCAAAGCCATCGCCACGAGGATTCCAGACTCCATCCCTGAGAAGGAGTGAACAAAATACATTTGGGTGAGGCAGGCACTGAAACTGATCTCCCTGGAATTGAACCAGAAGATGCTCAGCATTTTGGGTACGGTGGATGTGGACATTACCAGGTCGCTGACGGCCAGCATGCAGAGGAAATAGAACATGGGCCCGTGGAGGCTGGGCTCCCTCTTCACGATGAACAGGATGGTGAAGTTCCCCAATATGGCTATGGCATACATAGCACAGAAGGGAATGGAGATCCAGATATGGGCTGTCTCCAGGCCAGGAATGCCAAGTAGGATGAAGGTGGAGGGGTTGGTGAAGTTGGTGAAGTTGGAATCTGACATGGCATAGGGGAGAAAGTGTCCAACTCTGAGGCATAAGAGTGTCTTCTGCATTTACTGTATGCTCCTCTGACTTTCTATGTGTTCCGAGGATCTCGGGTGATGGTCACAGTTGGAATGCCTGCATGGAGAGACAACGTTAATATGAGACACTGCATGCAGTAGTGGAGGCTGTTCTCATGGTAGAAGCAGATTGATCACGCTTTGCACACTGAAAAATGACATTTTCATTATTCAGAGAAAATAACTATGAATAATTACCCTACTAAATCCAATTTCATATTTGTATTGTGCTCCCTGGATTAATAATTCGTAGACGTTGTGGTGGGGGAACCTTAAGAGGCACCAGCAGAAAACACAAGTGTGGATACTGGTTATCCATCATTGTTCCTTAATGCAATGAGAATCAGGATAGGGAGTCCATAATGAAGGGAGTTCCGTCATTCATCCAGTAGCTTGAAATCAGAGAGGGGAAGAAAACAAAATTTTGCACAGATATGTGTTGAGAGAAACATCCCAACTAGAACATACCTCAGGGAAAAGACCTGGATACCACTGATAGCAGCTCAAGAAAAACACCTGCTCATTCACAGTAGTGGACAAAATAAAAGAAATGTTCAGATCCCTAAGATATGGGATGGAGCATAACATGTTCGGGAATGTGTTCAGTTTTGGTCACCCAGTCTCTATTAAGGAGCTAAAAGTCTGGGACTCTTTAGTGTATACAAGAGACAAAGAAGAGACCACATGATATAGGAGAGGAAAATAAACAAGGAAACT